GGCTTGGTGGGGGAGGGATAGCCGAGCGGCTAGCTGATGTCAGCCCTGTTGCGGTTCGCAAGCAAGTCGATGACTTTGTCTCTTTGAGACTGAGCGTAATGCGTCAAGTACGCGACGCTATGGCTGAAAGCCAAGACACGCAAAAGGAACATGCAGATGCCAAGGGCAGAAGCAATGTTGAGAGGTTTGAGGTCGGTGACCAAGTTTTATTAAACGCTAAAAACCTACCTACTCATGCAGTGTCTGCAGTCTTCAAGACGAAGTTAAGACCTCGGTTCATAGGACCGTTCAAGGTCGTGGCCAGGAAGGGCCTAGCGTATACGCTCAACCTTCCGAAGAAGATGCGCACGCATCCGGTCTTCTATGTCGGCTTGCTTAAGCCATACCAAGACCCTGCTCAGGTGAGCGCGGAGGCGTTGGCACCAACGGTGGCTGGGCCACGGACAGCTGCAGGGCAGCAGGTGGTAGAGCCACGGGAGGCTGAACGACAGCAAGTGGTGGATCCACAGGTGGCTGATCAACAGCATGTGGCAGAGCCACAGGTCGCGGAGCGAAGTGCTCGAGATGCAGGAGCAAGGCAAGCTGAACGTTCAGCCGAGCAGCTGGACGCTCAAGGTCCGAGACCTGGTTGTGAGTCAACAGTGGTGGCTCTAACCTATCCACAAGGTGGATCATCTCTTCGAGATCGACCGATGGGCGGTATACGTTCGCGTCGTGGACGCCGGCGTCGTATGGACGCAGACGCCGTTTCCGGCAAGTGCTGACTCTCCCCGCGAGAGCCCAGCTGAGGCAAGACCTCCTCCTGCTCTGCTCGATGAGCATGGTGAGCTCCACTTTCACGTGGAACGCCTTGTGGCGTGGCGTAGACGCCAGGGTCGTACCCAGTACTTAGTGAAGTGGAGGGGTTACCCTCACTCACAGAACTCATGGGAGTTTGAGGTTATCCTCCGGCAAGATTGCCCTTGACGTCGTTGACGCTTACGACCGGGCACATCATGTGCCGAAGCGCCACCATGGCGTGCGACAGCGTCGCCAGGCGCTGGGCGCCTCCCACTAGAGTGGCGACGCTGTCGCACGAAGCGATGAGGTCAGTAGTTGAGCTCAGGCTCTGACCAGTGGCTGCAGCAGCCAGCTCGGTACGTATGAGCGGTGCTCGCAGCGGGAGCAGGAGGTGGAGAGACCTCGTAGTGTTAGGGACATGGTCCCGAAGGAAGCAGGTGCTTCGTGTTGTGCTGAACAAGGTTCAGGCACAAGCGTCTCGATAGACGCATAGTTGTTTTGAAACAACTTGCTCGATGAGCATGATCCAAATGTGGATGCGCTGTAACAGCGAAAGTGGTGTCCCGCACGGGGATCGAACCACTGGCCTTTGGCTTGACATGCCGGAGCTCTACCATTGAGCTACAAGGGCGATGCCCGTACGTCAGTCCGAGAACGGACTACTCATGGTATGAGAGGGCTGCGCCCGGGTGGATTTGAACCACCGACCTGTGGCTTTCAAAGCCAGCGCTCGACCACTGAGCTAAAAGCGGATTGCTCTTAAGCTTGTCCAAGCGTGAACAATCGTTCATGGAACGACAGGGCTGTGCACTGGTGGGCTCGAACCACCGACCTGTGGCTCTCAAAGCCAACGCTCAACCATTGAGCTAAAAGGGTGTTGCCCTTAAGCTTGTCCAAGCGTGAGCGATCGTTCATGGAACGACAGGGCTGTGCCCTAGTGAGTTTGAACCACGGACCTATCGCTTGTGAAGCGAGTGTTCAACCGCTGAGCTGTTGTCGACGACTCGAATGAGTCAAGAGCATTGCTCTAAGCGGCTTGCAGCTCTTGGAGTAGGCGCGGAGCGCGAGCGTAGGTCTGAGACCGCTTGAGAGCAAGATGCGCGCTGCGCTTGGAGCATTGGGCCGTGGGCCGACGACGAGAAGTTGGGCATCAACGATGCGTAGGCGTTTGTGAGCTCACGGAGCTGTACAACGCTGGTGTGAGGTGTAGTAACCTCCGCCGTCTTAACAAGACGTGACCTCGCTGAGGAGAGTTTCGAGAACGGAATGTTCTCATCTTAGTGGGGGAGAGTGTAACGGGGTTACATGGTGTGGAGCACACAGGGGTACGAAGTACCCGGAGAGTTAACAAACTCTCAGTACATAAGTTGGAGAGTTAACAAGGTCTCTCAGTACGTTAGCTGAAAGCCACACGTTATGCATTTGATTAGGTTTAACTATGCTAGATAGTTAAAGAGATACATTTACCCCTAGGCGGCTTGGCCGCAATAATAGTAAATAAAACACTTCTGGTTTTGAAGCATAAAAGTTAAGGTATTAACTTTGAGCCCTGGTCTTGGGCTGTAAGTGTCCTTTGGATAAGGAACTTAGTATTAGTGACTCTTTGAGTCGAACGTCTTCCTCTGACGCTAAAGCTACGGCAGCCCCGCTGCAGTTGTGGTGTGAGCTTCGTGCCGTGTGAACGATTTTCCAGGGCCCAGTCGGGTGCTGTTTGCTCGCTGCACGGATACCAATTCTCATAGGGCACTCTGAGCGCTTTGATCCCCGCAAAGGGCGCTGACGGTCGGATTCAGTTAGATTCTGTGTGTTCTTGGGCACACCGGCTCGGTCACACTCATAATTTCGCACCCAAACGTCTCCATCATCGTTGTAGCGTACACGGCGTCGAGATACATTAAAGCCGTGGCTTAAGGTTCATGCATGTACTGCGGCTTCTGCTTCGTCATGAGACGAGTAGTTGGCTTCAGGTGGAGGTGGAAGTAAAAAGAGCGGGGGTTTCTCCTTCTCCATTGTACGGTAACTTGGTTTGTGGTACTCGCTACTGAGCTCCTGTACACGCCAGACGGCAACCCCATCCACAGTAATGGTACTCTTACAACCTTTCAATATGTTAACAACCTTTCGTCTGGTTGGCAACGCTGTACCGGTTACAGTACGGTAACGCTGTACCGGTAGCAGTACCGGTAATACCTCTGCCCGTTTTGTGTGAGGGCGGGCCCTCGTTAGTTTTTCCCGCAAAAGACCATGGGCATGGTCTATCCAGCCTATCAACTGCTGTTCCACAAAGCGGCTTCAACTCATTTTGCTCTACCGGTAGCTCTTCTCCAGCCAGCCATTAAACTGGTAGCCAAGAACGTCGTATTGCGAATAACCAAGAGTCTGGAAGACTTGACACCTGAAGCTGTGATTTTTACAGTGGATTTCTACAACGCACTGTACTTGGCCACGTTCATGGATAGTGCCTCAAGTATCCATACCATGTTGATCCTCATTGGAACTGACTTTGCTCAAACCGCCATGGTTATGATCAAACTTCGGCGACGATCTTACAACGCCTATACAAAGTAACGAACAGTTTTGGAAGCCAAAATTTACTTTCGTTGCTCTGTTTTCTTTGCCGAAATCAAGACAAATTTGCTACTCAATGGATTGAGCACGTACGTGTGCGGTCCTGTCTGACGTATCGTTTGTCGCCAGAAGATAATAATCTCCTCGCCAAGCTAGAAAAAAGTGTTTCGCATACAAATAATCACTGGCCTAGTGAGGGGCCCATGTGTAGCATTTTGAATAGCGTCCCCCAAAAGAAAAATGCGCGACTACTTTGTGTACGACGACATCTCAGCGCAGTTCTACCAACCGCAAACATTGAGAGATGCCATGGAATAGGCGCCAGTCGTGATGCTCAGCACTCCGCTATCCTTCACGAGACGCTGGAGGTGTTATACACACTGGAGTGTTTGGTTCTCTCGGCCTACTTAGAGGCTTTTATTCCTCTTTTCTACGGCAACTATATGTGAATTTTCCGAACGCAGAATATCACACCGAGTTGAGAAATTTGACCCATCAGAATGTTAATCACACCGCCACTGTAGTGTTTCTCTTTGGCCTTTTGCAAGTGGCATCGTTCTGGCTGTTGGCGGCGCTTATTAGTCGCAAGTGCGGTATGAATGTGCTCTATCGATTAGCGTTCGTTTTGGAAACACAAATGCCTCTGGTTCAAGGGAAACTAATGATCTGGATGCTCGTGACTATGGCTTGTCGTGTCGTTCACTTTGGTACGTTTGGTCTTTTTATTTAAATATTGGTGTACCGGTATGATTGTACAGATATTTATTTCCCTAAAGGTGTGGACTTTTCTTTTAAATTTTCGTGGATTCAAAATTAGTGCTTAGTTCCGTGACTAATCCATATGCGTAATCAAGAATTACTGTAAACACCGTGCTTTGCCGTCATTTGAAGAATCATTCTACACGAAGCTTCACATGTCCAGAATGCGACTTATAATTGTCTTCATCGCTTCGTTCCTGTGGTGTTGCACGAGCTTCACAGAAGCCCTGACAGACAACGTGACTCCCTCTTCGATCACGAATCGCGTCGGCAATGTCAACAACCGGCGCCATCTTCGAAGACAGCAACCGAACGAAGAAGAAAGAATGGCGCCGAACTTCGCTGCGATGTCGAATCTTCTGCATTCCACTCCTTCTGGTCAGTCGTCCCAGATCCTTCATGCAGTTGAGAATCACGAGCCGCTGCCCAAGTGGGCAAAAGCTCTCGTAGTTCTACTCGGACTCGGCGTAGTAGCTGGCGGCACTGTTGCTGCTGTCAAGGTGTCGCAATCAATAACGGAATAAGGTAGGGCTGTGGCATTAAATGACACACAAATTTTGTGTGTTCGACTCAAGCTAACGCTACCGGTTCCACAAACCGAAGATAGGTCATCTAACCGGTAGCTCAAAAAGCTAAAAACAAACTTTCACTTTTTTTGAAAAGAAAAGCTAAAGTAAAAATTTCATTTCACCCATTTTTAGACGGTAACCCCCCTCCGTGCAATGTTCCCAATAGTCAACTCGTAGCTCAATATGGCCAAGATGTCGACCGTCAGAGAGCGAGCAGTGTCCTCCATACCCGCGGGTGAAGTGTGGCAGCAGACACAATGGAAAAGCCCCCTGGCAAGAATGTTCTTCTTCTTTCGACGAAGAAAGCGCAGCTGGTTCATCGGGATGGTCGTGTTGGAGTTATTCTACGTCTTCGTGTCGATTCCGCTGCGTATCGGCTTCCTGTTTGACCCTTACGCTACAGATGACTGGAGCTCCGGTTGGACAGACGAACTTACAGTATTTACAGTTCTAGACGTGCTCGCAGACACCGCAGGGTTCGCCAGTCTATTGGATATATTTGCAGCTCAACGTCGAGCTCAAGCTGCCGTCGCTGCAGACGCCATTGGATCGATTGGAGCTCGGCGACAGCGCTCTACTAAAGGCCCCAATAACCCACCTGGACGTAGAGCTTCTCTCCTCTCTGGTATACGAGATTCCATGCAAGTGGCATGGTCTTTAAACACAATTATCCCAAAAAGCCATCGACATCACGGGATCCAAAGACCCGTCCTATTAGAAATTATTTCCATGATCCCATTAGAACTCCTCGCGTTAGCATTTGGCCCCAACGCTCTGCACTTACTGCGAGTATTGAAGCTACTACGACTGTATCGAGTACCTGGCTGTATGCGCGAACTAAAACACATGTATACAGGCTCGAGAGTTGTCCGGATACTCGAGTATACAGGCAACGTCGTTCTCTTCAACACTGTCGTAATGGGGCTTGTAGCTTGTCATTGGATAGCGTGTGGGTACATGGCTGTAGCGCATCTGGAGTGTGGTATCGACTTCATGCTCTGTAGTAAAGCTCTCACTGTACTTACGACAATCCCCGGAGCTGGAGAACACGGCGTCCCAAAGGGCATCGCAGGGGTCTCGCCAACAGGAGACGGCTCTGGGTATACGTGTTGGGCTATCGACGACTACTTGGTGGGCACAAATGTGGGTCGACAATACGGTAGAGCGGTGTATTGGGCCTCCCGTTCGATGGTGACCGCAGGCTTCTATGACGTCGCAGCGTCGACCAACATCGAGACTGTGTATGTGATTTTTGCTCAAGTTCTCGGGGCCATCTTCACCACGGCAGTTCTCGCTACATTTCTCTTTATTTTCCGCTACAGGAATGCTCGAATGCAGAAATTTATGGCTCACGTAGACAGTGCGAAGGAGTACATGCAAGTGCGACATTTTCCCGAAAATGTACGCGAAGGAGTTCTCGGATATTACAAAAATACGTGGGCCACTCATCAGGCGTTGCAGCATGACGAGGTGATCGAACGTCTCCCAGGACACTTGAAGGTCAGTGTGTACAGTGTTTTAAAGACGAAACGTATCCAGGACGTGGCCTTTCTGGCTAAAGAGAGCATTGAGTTCATCAATACGCTGGCCCTTCGTATCGAATACTGTGTGTATTCCCCGAAAGATTGGATCATCGAGAAACTACCAGATGGCATGTATTTTGTACTACGTGGGAGTGTCCAACTCGACGGTCCGAGACACCCACAAACAGCGTATGCGAAAGCTGGCGATCACTTTGCAGAGGGTTCTTTATTGTTTCCTACTCGATCCGATGAACGAGCACGAGCTCAGACGTATTGCGATTTGTATAAACTCCCACAACGCAGTTTTAACAAGACGCTAACCGTGTTTCATCGCGAAAATGCGCCCCAACATTTGGAGGAAATGCGCTCGATGCACGCGCGACACGACCAGCAAGAGCAGAAGATGAAGAAAATGCTTGGACGCTCGGCAGATAACGCAGACGCCATGGCAAATATCAACAACAGTGGCGGGCGATACAGCGTCACCTACGGTAGTGACGTACGTGTCCGTCGGCAGCGGATTCCGTGGCGTATCCCGGGTTCGAATTTTCGGAAATATTGGGAACATGCGCGGCTGCTTTCGCTGATTTTCGTGGTCTTTGAGGTCCCGTTGTACTGCGTTTTCGACGCGGATACATTCCCTTTCGGTGCCAAGTCGATATACTCGTTTCAGTCCATGACATCCATCCTAGTTGAAGCGTTTTTTGTCGTGGATTTCGCGTTTCGAGCGCGGTTTTTCGCGTACGTAGACCAACTTGCGCTCATCACAGTGAGTGATCCAATCTACATCTTGGACGCGTATCGAGAGAACGGCATGTGGCTGGATCTATTGGCGATAATCCCTTTACCGCTAGTGGTAGAGTTTGTCGTAAATCGCGGTCACGGATGGACCATGTGGCTTCATATTAGTCGACTTATCCGTCTTCTACGAGCCCGCTATCTGCAACAAACGATCCAAGAATTCAGCCATATCCGAGGACTCTCGTCGAAAATGCAGCAGGCAGGGACGATGCTGCTGTACGTGACGTTGCTGCTTCATGTGACCGGTTGTCTGTGGTTTCTTATGGCCCGTTTCAGCGTGTTGGAAGCCGAGTTTGAGCCCATATTAGAGGAATACACACGTGATCGCTGTTTACGGGACGCCGGTCTTCATGGGAATTGTTCATGGACACTGTACGACGCGTATGGACAAATTGGCACAACCTTTAAGATACAAGACCCCGAACATTCGATTTATACAGTGCAGATGGCGTACATGCGCTCGATTTACTGGGCTATCGTTGCACTCACCACTGTAGGATACGGTGACATTGTGGCTTTCTCGACGTATGAAAGTTATTTTGCAGCGGTGTGGGTATTTTTCGGAGGGATTATAAATTACGGCGTCGTGGGTGCTATGTCCAATATCATTTCGAATCTTACGGCCAGTAGTCGCCATCATTCCGAGAAAATGAACGCTGTCAACGTGACGCTGGGGCACTTTCGTATCTCCGAGAGCGTTCGAGTGCGCATTCGACAGTTCTATCACCAGCAAATGTACGAGCAAAAAGTGACATCAGAGGTGGAACTTCTCGATGGGTTACCCACTCAACTACGCCATCGGATCTCCAGTATCCTCCACGCCGAGTCTGTACGTAAGGTGCCACTCTTTGTGGATGCGCAGAACGAACGTCTGCTCTATGAACTGACGGGACTATTTCGACGTCAATTGTTCCAACGAGGAGACCCTTTTTTCGCTGAGGGTACACTTTGTGAAGAAATGTATGTCGTTGTCAATGGACGAGCCAATATCTTTAGTAAACGAGTGGGTACATTACCGATTGGAGCGCTATCCGCTGGAGATTGCTTCGGTGTGTGTGAGCTTTTACTTCGGAAAAGCTTCAACACTACAGTCATCGCTGCAAGTGTCGTAGATGCCTCTGTCATCACGTATTCGGCTTTTGTTGCAAAAATCGAGCGTCATTTTCCCATTGAGATGGAAAATTTGCGCTCCCAAGCTACACAACAACACATTTTTGACACGTTGACGCTCGAAGCAGTGGTCGACAACATCAAATCGAGGTCGACTTTAATGAAATATACGGAAAAATGTACGAGTATGTTCGAGGAGAAGGAGAATTGGGGCAAGCAACGCAACAAGCTGCGTCTTCGACTCTATTGGGACTTAATCATACTCGCGTTGGATGTGTATAATGCCTTCCAAGTCACGTTCCGTATTGGGTTTCTAGCTCATCCTTCAAGTGGCACACGACTGTTTCTCATGGCATCGGACTTCGTAGGTGACGTCTTGTTGGCTGCAGATATTTACCTCAAGCTGTACTACTTTGAGTGTGAAGAAGTTGGTTTGATGAACCTCGTATACCGAGAGGAACGTAGTGAGACGTATACAGGTCGTGAGTTACGCAATGATTTACTGAGTAGTCTACCTCTGTACTACGTGGGGAGTAGCTTCCTGGCTATGAGTTTATGCAGACTCCCTCGGTTACTGCGACTCCACCAAATCCCAGGAATGATCGACTCGCTTATCATGCGATTGCAGCAAAAATTCTCAGCTGGAGGGAACATTTCGGCGTATCTGAGTCCTATCAAACTGGTACTTATTTTGTTATTTACGGGACATCTGGCTGCGTGTGTGTTCTACCTCATCTGCCACACCGATCACAACCACAAGAACTGGACCCACCACGACCCAATTGTAGTTATGGAGCACGAATCAACCGGCGTGCTTTACCTGCGAGCATTCTACTGGGCACTGACAACGGTAACTTTTCACATGTTTCCATGAAAATTTAAATTACTTACCTTTATTGTGATATTTGTAGTTGACACTTGTAGGGTCCAGAGAAATTGTGCCGTTAGGACTACCTGGAACGCTCTGGGCCACTTTCACGTGTCTATGCTGCGCATTTGTTGTGGGTCATATCGTGGGGGAACTCTCGGAACTTTTTCTGGAGATGGATGCAACTAAAAAAGAATTAAAAGAACGCGAGTCGCACTTCGACCAGTTCGCGAAAGATCACGATTTACCTTCCAGTATCTGCACCCGCGTGCAGCATTATCTTAAATTCCAGCATCATTATCTTAAAGGTCTGGATATCTACGACACGTTTAGCGATTTATCACCGAATCTACGCGTACAATTGATGCTGGATCTCCACGGAAATACTTTACAGAATCTTTGCATCGCCCCATTTCTGAATCAAACCCAGATCAATGGACTCGCCGTGAGGCTGAAATCGGAGCTTTACATTCCCGGAGATACGATTATTGTGGAGGGCGATCTAGGACACAAACTTTACATTGTGAAAGGAGGGACGGGGATGGTGCTCTGGAAATCTACAGGAACAGCTGTAGCCACTCTTACGACCCGGTAGTTTATTCGGAGAAGTGGCTTTCTTCCTACGTGGACAACGTCGAATTGCGTCCGTCCAGGCTACGACATGCAGTGAGCTGCTTGTCTTAGGACGTCGTTCGTGGGAGGAATTATTGGCTTCGAGTCCTCGTGAAGAAGCGGAGAGCACTGAACGTGCGTTGATCCAATGGGTACAGTTTTGTCTTAAAGGGTACAACATCATGACAGTGGAACTCGTGAAAGATATCAAATCTGGAGACAGTGGGACTTCCAAGAAGCCGAAAAATATTGAAGAACTTCGAGAACTTAACGCCGTTAAGACTCTAGATGACGAAGATAACACTCCAGTGACTGGTCCTCTTCGGTATATGTCAGCGACTGCACTTGAAGAGCGAAAAGTGCGTCAGCTGTTGCGGAAGACTGCAGGATATGGCGGTAGCAGAGCAAAACTTGGTGCTGCTGCGACGCCAAATATGCTGACGATTTTCTGTAATTGGATACGAGATCACGTGTTGCCAAGTGGACGCAAGGCAGCGAAACTCGGTCGAGTGTACGCTGATTACTCGCCTGAAAATAGTCGTACAGAACCTGTCCTCACACCTCCTAGTGGCCGTCGACTCTTTGCATGGCACACGCCCAGAAACACCTCGTCTCTCACGAAAATGAAGTCTTTTAAGAACGGAGCAGCGATGCAAATCAACCCCGTGAGTCGAAGCATGCGCGAGTATTATCGAGACGACCAACTGGACGAGATGGAGGAGGAATGCTGGCGTCGCTACAAAGTCTCGTTGTTCATGGCCGACGCGTTCACGGGCGAGGTGAGTAAACCGAGTCCAGTAGTAATTCCTGTATCCCCCCAGCTCTCAATTCAATCTCCACCAAGCACAATAACCTCTCAAAACACATCGAAGAATGAAGAAGACAGCGCGTCCACAGCTTCGAAGAAAATCCGCGTATCTCGTAAAACTTTCTGCGGTGCGATGCTGCCCGGTGCGAGTCCTCAACGTGCCACACGCACTTTGGTCACCACCGACGGTATGCGGTTCCTAGAGAACTACGAGTCCAGAAATCGTCCCAGCGAACGAGGTCTCAGCAGAAAACGTCGCCCTCGAGGCAGCATCCATGGCCACGAACTGCACCAGTCTTTTGGGCTGGCCAACCTGCCCTCTGGAGCCGCAAGAGCGCATCGTAGACAACGCAAGTTGAAGAGAAGTCAGTCTCTGCCTCTTTTTGATCGCCATTTCGCTCATATGATTCGTGACGAGCTCCAGGATTCGAACGCCAAAGAGTTCGAAAGTAAGTTAAACCTCGGCTTTGAGCTGCTCCAGCGTTGTCGACAACCTGAATTCTCGTCGCTTTTTCGAGTTTATCTGTCGTGGCTGAAGCATAAAAGTGTCTGGAGTCAGTGGTACTCGCGACAAATGGAGCGCTTTACGTGGCTCAACAGCTTCTCGTCGTCACATTCTGACTCGGAAAATGCGGAAAAGCCACGTACAGATTCGTTTTTCCACGACGTGGGACATAGTAGAACCGCGTCTTTAAAGTCGCTACGTGATACAGGTAGCACGTCGAGTAAAGCCGAGGCGTTCGTGAACCTACTGTCTCGATGCTTTCGACTGTGGGAGTGGCTAGTGGTTCTTGTTGGACTCTTCTACGCCGTGACGATCCCGTTCTTCGTGTGTTTCGCCTCCGACCTCGAAACGTTCCACGAAGACCACGAAGACGAAATCGCTTTAGCGCATTGGGAACGTATTGTGGTTTTGGTTGACTTGGTCTGCATCGCCGACTTTTTTCTTAAACATTCAGCCTTCCGAAAAGTATTAGTTCTACGTGACGGAGGTAGTACGGACGTCCCTACTGCTACTCCACAGCCAGTGGCGCCACCTCCGTTGAAGTCGATGAGTAGTTTGAGGACGTTCGTACCAACGGCCCCACCACAAGTGACACATAAACGCAAGAGCTGGTGGCACCAGCATGTGAATACCCACTTATGGATCGACCTTGTGACGTCGTTACCCTTCGATATCCTGCTGTACATCCCCCCGCTTTCGACGTCAAGTATGAACGATCATCGCTGGTTCTACTTGTCGCTCTTCCAACTGAACAAAATCCCGCGTATTCTGGAGTCTATCGAAGCGAGCGAGCGACTCACTCAGTTCCTGGCTGCAGATCTGAATCTACCCATAGGAGAGAGTCGACTGCACTTCATCCGCACCGTGTGTATCTATCTTTTATCGGGTCATTGGATCGGTTGTCTGTGGTTTCGTCTGGGCTTGCATGCGTACAATATCTACGGAGGGTCCTGGCTTTCCACGTACAAAATGCTGGCGGTAGACGAGTTCGAAGAGCTGAGTGAGATCCCCACTTGTCGACGATATCTTCGCTCGCTGCACTTTGCTATTGGCTCAATTACTACGGTTTTCTATGGCGACGTCGTGAGTATGAACGCGATTGAGACAGTAGTAGAGATTGCGTTTATCGTGGTCTGTATCTTGATCTTCGGGGTGCTAGTTGGCGCGCAAGGAGAGATGATTGAAGCCAACTACAAGCACAAGATGCTGTTCGAACAGAACTTGATGGAACTGTATCATTTCTTGAAGAACAACGACGTCCCACGCGACGTTCGACAGCGACTACGACTCTACTATACCAACACATGGCTCAAGTACCACGGCCACGACGATCTCGAAGGTGTGCGAGGTCTTTCGACGTTGCTGGTGGAGGATATCGCCCAGTATACCCTTCGAAGCTTTGCCAACCGTGTATCCATTCTCAAGAGCTGTGACGAGAGCTTCCTGCGCTCTTTACTGACGTGTTTAAAACACATTATCTGCTCGTCATCGGAGGCAGTTGTACGCAAGGGAGACGTCGATCGGAGCATGTATTTCATCGCGAAAGGAAAAATCCTCGTCCAAGGGCCGGGGTTCGAGCTGGTGAAGCACGAGGGAGATTTCTTTGGGGAATTGTCGCTCTTGTATGGCATTCCTCGGTCTGCCACGTGCTCGTCGCTGGGTGTTTCGTTGCTCTACGTGCTCGAGTGGGAGACGTACGAGAGGCTGCTGGCGGATTATCCGGAATACCGTGAACAAAACCGACGCGAGTGGGTTATTGTGAGCACGGTGTTGAAGACAGGGGAGTCGCGCTTCCGCTCTATCATTAACATTGTAGCGCGCATGGAAAAGGCCAACTGGGTGCTTGTGGACCAGATTATTCGCAAGGCCAAGAGTCTCAAGTAGAAGTGCAACGAACGTAGCCATTTTCTGAAATAGAATCTGTAGCCATCTTTGCTCGACCGATGCATGTTTTATGGCGTGATGCGGATCCGAACATGCGCCATTTCTTTCTTGTTTCCTATTGGTTAAAAATATAATGTGGCATCCAATCCAACGTGTTTAGACACAGCATAAGCCCCGATCTACTTCTGAGCAGCTCCACTCCTTCATCCGCCTTCGTCCGCCTACGATGCGTCCGTCCGCTATCCGTTGCTTCTCGTCCGCCGCTGCGTCGCTCAAGAAGACGCCGCTGTATGACCTGCATGTGTCTCTAGGTGGCAAAATGGTGCCGTTTGCTGGCTACTCGATGCCCGTGCAGTACCAGGCTGGTGTGCTGCAGTCGCACCTGCACACGCGCGAGCAAGAGAAGGCGTCGCTCTTCGACGTCTCACACATGGGTCAGCTGCGTATCACGGGCAAGGATCGCCTGCAGTTCCTCGAGAGCGTCGTGGTGGGCGACCTGCAGGCTCTGGGCAGTGGCGAGGCTAAGCTCAGTCTCATCACTAACGACCAGGGCGGCATCATCGACGACTGCGTGGTCTCACGCTATGACGACCATCTGTACGTGGTGGTAAATGCTGGCAATCAGGACGTGGACCTTGTGCACATGCACAAGCTCTCCGAGGGTTTCAAGGGCGATGCGTCCATCGAGCGCATCCAGGATCGCGCGCTCGTGGCTCTACAGGGCCCTGGAGCCGTCGATGTGGTGGAGACGCTAAACCCTAACGTAAACTTAAAAGACCTTGAGTTCATGCACGGCGTGTTCACGCCCTTGAAGCTCAAGGACGGCAAGCAAGTGGACGTCATTCTCACGCGTTGTGGCTACACTGGTGAGGATGGATTCGAGATCTCCGTGCTCAGCAAGGACGCCGAGACTTTCGCGCGAGCTCTGCTTGATGACGAGCGCGTGTTGGAAGCTGGCCTTGGGAGCCCGTGACAGTCTGCGTCTCGAGGGCGGGTCTGTGTCTGCATGGCCACGACATTACGGACAAGATTACGCCTATTGAAGCCACGCTAGCGTGGACTATTGGCAAGCGTCGTCGCGAGGAGGGAGGCTTCCCTGGTCACAGCATTATTATGGACCAGCTGAAGAACAAGACGGCCACGAAGAAGCGTGTCGGCTTCGTGGTGGACGGAGCAGCCGCGCGTGAGGGCGCAGAGCTCTTTGACGCCGACGACAACGTTGTGGGTCACGTGACCAGTGGTACCTTCAGTCCGTCGCTCAAGAAGGCCATCGGTATGGCCTACGTCAACAAGAATGTGGGCAAGATCGGCACGGACCTGCACGTCAAGGCCCGTAAGAAAACGCAGCAAGGCTGTCATCACCAAGATGCCGTTTGTGCCGTCCAACTACTACAAGAAGGAGTAAGCAGCAGTACTGGAAGCGTCGTAGCGTTGGCTCTCATGCCACCGAGCTTCTTCCTTTGGCCCTATACGTATACCCCTAAAAGCTGACGCCGGCAGGTATACAGAGTTTAATGCACAGATCTTTTTCCGGCTATACCTTGCAAGTTATAAGAATGCGTCGGAATTCGACTAAATTACTTACCAAACTAGAGGAGAATAAATTTTAAACTGAGCTGCTTGCTGCCGCGCGTGAGTGCAGATTCCGCAGTGCCTTGCGGGTCCAAACCCAGTTCTGAAAAGGGCGAAATGAGTGCTCCATCTAGGACTGTAGCCACATCTTGTGCGTTTTCAAGTATCCGGAAGAAAGCGCCCGCAAAGTCGATATGCTGGTCCAGTTTGGTAACTTTTGCACGTGCGTCAAAATGGAGCGTCGCCGTAAATTGCGGCTCGATCGTCTGACCCACTATACGCTGAGCTATACTGTCTTGTATATGTATAAAAAAGCGGATACACCATTATCAACGTGTCTCGCGAGATCCGCATCCTGACTGCTCCTTTTGCTTCCAAGACCCAAGTGAGTTTCTCCTCGTTCGCCTGGGCCTCCATCTCCTGTATTGGAGCGTGCACAACCTTGAATGTGCCTGGCAGTATTTCTAAAGTACCATGGTACGACGTGTAGCGTTTTAGCTGCAGCAAAAGTGCTTCTATTCCGTCCGTCGTGCTGCCTTGTGTGATCATTTCCGGAGCACACACCAGCTTCACAAAACTCTCCTGTAGCGAACTAGACTCCGTTGAATGCAGTGCAAAACCCGATCGAAAAGCGCGTAAGAAGTGCTTGACCACGAGCATCGGTCTGGGGTCGTTCCAGGTCGTAAGAGGTTGTGCATCCAGTAAGAAATAGCCTCTCAAAAAGTCCCGATAGTCCTGCAAGTTTTGGAGATGCCCGTTCATCCCCTCGGTCTCTAGAGACAGCGTACTGACGAGTCCACGCTGTCGTGCACGGTATCTGCGCTGGTTAAGTTTGCATTGGGCTTTGCGTCTCGCCTTGCGCTGCTCCTCGTCCTGCAGAAGGCGCCGACGTCCGCGTTTCTTGGGTGGAGGTTTCTGCTCATCATTCGGACCATTAGCGGCGCTCTTTGTAGGGCGTTTGCCCTGGGCCTTCGAGGGAATAAGCTTGGCTGGTGGTATCGATGGTGGTAACAGGTTTACAGGAGGGCTCTTCTCCTCCTGCAACGACATCGTTAGCGTCGGCATCGTAGTCTGAAGTGAGGGAGTTTCTTTGGCCAAGACGGGTGAGTCACCCCGCTTTATAAATCGTAAACCAACTAGAAAGTCAAAAAGCCAAACTGCTATGACGGGATATGCCTGTTAATTACGTTACTTTCGACTTATGGTTGATGAGCTAAAAAACAAATATTGATTCACTAAGCAGCTAAATACGAAAATGCAGGTGTGAGCGTCTAGGAAGAATAAAAATTGCAAGCCTTACCCTAGAAAGACAATTGGCCTAAGTACGATCTGCGCCATTTCAAAATAACGGGAATTTGAGAGTACTTAAAAATTGCATTGGACCAAAATGACAAATTTGAACAGAATTCACATTGTTGGATCTGGAGAAATACTTAAAAAAGCTCGAGTGACTGTTTCAAAAAGCCCATTTTAAACAGCTAATTCATCCGGGATAAACCATCCGACGAGCAGTATTTGCGTGTGTGCAATCGGTTGGCTAGTTGAACTACCAGCGGTGTTGGGTCAGCGCAAATGGACTCTTCATCAATTATAATTGATAGACTCTCCATGAGCTGCCAGCTGAGCTTGTCAATTACTCCGACTCATCTGTAAACTTTTCTAAAGAGAGAATCATGCCAGCCGGATTTTATTTTGCGCCTCATCTTTCAAAACAATAGCGTAAATTGCCAGAATTAATCCGTTGGGGCCTGGTATTTCCAGTACAAATTTGTACAAACAACATACTGCACTGCATTTTAAAAGCACTGCAAGCTGTTAAAACGCAGAAGATCAGCAGAAAACCAAGATCCGAGGGAAAAATGAACGCAATGAAGAGATAATTGAGTCTCCTGAAGCATTAACCTCTTAATTAAAAGACTGCCTTTCTTATTCTGAAGTGTTGGTGCCCAGCGACGTTTGATCCAAAGCTGGCACGGCATCTTCGACCGACACACAAGGGTCACCTCCAAAGACACTTTTCAGCAAGTTAATTGTGGCAAGAATTTCACGAATCCTTCCTTTGGCATTTACAATCGCGAAACGCCACTTACGTACCGCAAGCTTCTCTTGTGTATCTGATAACACTTGAATCGCAGTGGCATCCAGGTCGCTCACGACATGGTAATGTTTTTCTTCAAAAGAGAGATTTTCACCCAATCTTCTTTATGCAGAGAATTTACTGTATTAATAGCATCGCTGTATCTTGTTGTAGATCCGCAGACTTTGCAAAATGGGCGCGTACGAGAAAATGAAAACGGTTGTACTAGAAATATAGCTCGACCATTGTTACCGTATTGCGTTAAATGATCAAAAACGGGTGTTCAGTGCTGATCTACTGCACCACTTCGCCCTTGCCCAGCAGCCATTGGATGATACAGGCATAGTTAGCAAGTTCTGTCTTGTTGGTCGACAACAAAAGGTTCGTGCGTTCGTGCGGGTCCGTCTCCACATCAAACAGCATCGGTTCGTCGTCGCTGTAGCCAATCACGTACTTATAACGACCGTCAAACCAGAGCTTCCACGCTCCTAGCGCTGATCGCAACACACGCTTCTTATAAGGTTTTCCTTCAAGAAGTGCTCGGAACGAATAGGCCTCCGACATTTGAGGAGGGACGTTCTCAACCTCGCCAACATCTAGAAAAGTACGTGCCAGATCAATAAGCGACACGCCAGCATTTGTAGGACGTTCCTTGTACTGCGGGATCCACCACATCACCGGCAATAACAAGGGAACGCTTACGGGAGGGCTGGAACGGGACGTCGTTCGCCCAATAGGCACGATCAGCGAGCAAAATGCGTGAGCACTCGGAAAATACGACCGTCTCACTTAGGTTTACAGCCGCCAGGATACGACCAATATGCGCGTCAATGTTCTCTATCATGGCCGCGTAGTCGGCACGCGTTCGGTTGTGCATGGCGGCAGTAAAGTTACCGGTATAGTCAACCGGTTGGGGAAAAACTTGGTTCTGCATTCGGCCGTACATGCTCTCCGTGATACTCATCGGGTAGTGCGGTCCGTTCCAGTTCACAATCATAAACCACTCCTTATCATCGGGTTTCTCACGAAGAAGCCGCAGAGCCTGGTCGGCTACCCAGTTGTCGTTGTAGAGCTCGTCCGGAAGCGGATTTGGAAAAGTATCCTTGTAGAATCGAGGGTCTCCAATCTTCGTGTTGCCCCCTACCGTTCGAGCGCGGGTGTCGTTTAGGAATACATCCGTGGCGTTGTGTTCCAGTAAGTAGTCCGTATAGGGCTCAATGTAAGATCCATTCGGGTAGGGTTCACCGAGGAAGTACGACTCAAAGACACCGACACAGTTGACCATGTCGGAAAAGCCCCACTCTTCGGCGTGTAGGTTACCGTCGTGGTTCCAACCGAAACTGTTGAGCGTATCATTCTTGTTCAAATCGAGTTTACCGACGGCCATCGTGTGGTAACCAGCCTCTTGTAGTAGTTTGTAGTAAGTCGTCATGCGGTTGATCGGGAAGTTGTAGCGGTTGGTCAACACACCGACCTCTTCGTAATGACTGGCAGCAGCAAAGCACGCACGCGAAGGTCCACAGACCGGAGAAGCCGTGATTGCACGCTTGAAATGGAGTCCACGCTCACGGATGCTATCGATGTGTGGGGTCTGGAGAAAGTCCGTCTCCGTGCCGTTGTTAACCCAGTCGAAGCGCAGCTCATCAAGGAAGAAGACAAGAATGTTGGGCCGAGCTTCAGTGACAGATACCAGGCTTATTGCAGCCATCAAGATGGTCGATGGCCAATTCATTGCACCCAATGAAGATTGTTGTTAGACCAGAATGGAGCGTCGAACCCGATTGGGCAACGGAGTGGTGACAGCAGCAGCATCGACGACTAAGACTTCGCAAGATGGCAAAGCGACTTGTTGCAGTTCGACACGAGAGGTGCATTGAAGATTCGTGGCGACAAGCACAAGCGCAGAAGGGAGCGTGCTGGGCGGCCTGACAAGTGAAGCGCCCCTGCAAGTGCATGCAGTGTAGTTAGTTTTTTTCTTTTCAGAAGACTCCCAATCAACCACTTTTCAACTCACCTTCTAGTGCGCACTTCCTCTCCTCCACCACTCGACCACCAACCTTCCTCTGCGGCCAAGTTTCAACAGGTTATGATGTCCTCAAAATCGGCCGCGTCCTACACGACTAAGCTGAAGCTGTTCAACGGGACTGGGTTCCCAGCGTGGGGCGCCCAGGTTAAGCTGGTACTGGAGATCAAGGGGCTGTGGGATGCAATCCAGCTACCCATGCCCACGGAGCAAGATCTGAAGGTCGAGAAGGATCCAACAGCGGCTGGGTCGGAATCGTCATCGGCGTCCGGGACGCCATCGGCTGCGGCAGCATCAGTGGCTGCTGTGGCACAAGTGAAGGAAGCAGTGGGAGAAACAACAACTCCGTTCCACGACCTCATGATCAGGCAAAAGATGGCCTCATCAATCATCCTCGCGGCGCTCGATGAAAAGATTGCCGCAGAAGTGTACCTGCTGGACCATCCGATGGCAATTTTGAGACACCTTCGCATGACGTACAACGTCAAATGCAGTGCTAGCGTTGGAGCTGCCAAGCGCGAGTATATCGGGCTGTACCTGGACGGTGACAACTCGATGATCGACCACATCAAGAACACGAGGCGTGTGATCGACGAGCTGCAGGAGCAACGTGTGGTTCTGTCTGATGAAGAGAAAAGGCAGAATTTTATGCAGAGTCTGGGACCTGCTTGGAATGGCTTCGTTGGCGTGCTCGAGTCTTGCGCGACATTTGAGCTCATGATCCAGCGTTGCCAGGCTGAAGCGATCCGCCGTGATCAGCAAAAGAATCGACGCTCGACGGCTGGATCGGGCAGTGGTAAAGGTGCTGCTGCGTTCAGTGCAGAACAAACGGCTGGCAAGCAGAAGGCGGGCAAGCCGAAGAAGAAACGTGACATGAGCAAGGTGAAGTGCTACAAGTGTGGCAAGACGGGACACTTCGCTCGAGACTGCAAGACTGATGAATCACCGTCGAAGGCGGAAGCTGCCAGTGTCGCATTCACTGTGGACGACGCGACCGATGACAACAAGAGAGGGTGGATCGTGGACAGCGGAGCCACGAGCCACATGACGGGGCACTTTGACAATCTCATCAATGTGCGTGAGTTGACGGATCCTCGTGTACTGACGGTAGCATCCGGCGACAACTTGGTGGCGACTGCGGTTGGTCAAGCACCGCTGGAAAAGGACGGACGAGAAGTCTGTGTCCTGCAGGAAGTACTGTTCGTCAAGGGACTGGCACGCAACCTGATTTCAGTAGCTGCTGCATCACGTCGCGGTATGACGGTGGAGTTCAAGGGCGCGTCGTGTATCATTCGCTCGCCATCTGGAGTGTCAGTTCTGGCGTCGCGAGAGAGTCAAGCAATGTATGTGGTGGATGCCACTAGTGTAGCTGTTAAGCAGGCGGCGATGATGACGGCCGAAACGCCGCATCTTGAAACCTGGCACAAGCGACTTGGACATCTCAATTCTCGCAGCGTTCACCTACTGCTTGAGGACCTGAAAGTGCCATGGCACGGAACCGTGAATCAATCGTGTCCGACCTGTGTGAGTGAGAAACTCGCGCAGAACCCATTTGCGGTTAAGGGAAGGCGCGTGCTGAAAAACAACCAAATGCTGTTGGCCATCGACTACGTAGGTCCGATGCAGGTCACAGCTCGGGAAGGATATACTGGTTTGGCCAATATCGTTGTGGAGCCCTTTCACTTGGAAATGGCGTACCCGCTGCGAGAGAAGAGCTCTCGTGCTCAGCTGGATGCAGTCAAGGACTGTATTGCAAAGTTGAAGGCCTATGCGCCGGAGTATCGTGTGGCGTTCATTAAGTCCGATAACGCTGCAGAGTACGTGGGTGGCGAGTTTGCTGCGTACTGCAGCAAGCTCGAGATTGTGCAGGAATTCTCGACACCTTATAGTCCCCAACAGAACGGAAAGGCGGAGCGTGGCAATCGCGTCATAGTAGAGATGGCTCGTACGCTGATGCAGGGAGCAAATCTACCCAATGCCTACTGGGCTGATGTAGTCGTGTGTGCGGCGTACATCAGAAACCGCTGCCCGACTAAGGTACTAGACGGTAAAACCCCGATGGAAGCTTTTCTTGGTTCGCCGCCCGACATCAGCAATCTGCGTGTGTTTGGATGCAAGGTGCAGGTTTTGGTGCCGAAGGAGAACAGGAAGAAGCTGGACTCGAAGACTCGGAATGGGATTTTTGTTGGCTACGCTACCGGTGGCGCTTATCTCGTCCACATTCCGGATCGTGGCACTGGAGAGACTATAACAGCGCGCACAGTCGTCTTCTACGAGGATCAGTTATTACCACCAAGAGATGAAGAAGAAGTTAAAATCTACACGCAGCTCGATCTAGCTCAGCAAGAGCTAGTTAATCGCATGGAGGGTCAACTTCGGTTGGAGGATGTTGAAGAGGAGAAGGAAGACGTGGTCATGAGATCTACTGCCAATCGGTCAATTGACTCTGAAGCAACGGAAATCCCTCGACAACCCCCGTCTGGTCCGGAACCAGTGGGAGTTGTGCGACAGCAAGCTCGTCTTCGAGGAGATCCCCGTGTGGAAAAAGCAATTCCTCTTCCGCGTCGCTCGAGCAGAATCCCGAAGCCCAGTCAGCGACGTCTGAATTATGAGGAAAGTCATTTTTCACTGGAACAAGTGTGCAATATGGTAGAGGAACGACTGGCGCCTGCACAGGAAGATGGTACAAGCATTTCCGATGGCTTTATATATCGTCAACTGACCCCGAGTGACCTAACTAACTGGGCACTAGGTGTGGAACCCATTAACTTGGATGAAGTAAATGCTTCGGAGGATCGGAACGAGTGGGAGCAGGCAATGGACGACGAAGTCCAGAGTCTTGTGGACAATGGAACATTCGTGGAGGCCCAGCTACCATCCGGTCGATCAGCGATAAAGTCGAAGTGGGTGTTTAAGAAGAAAACCAACGCTGACGGAAGTCTGGACAAATACAAGGCGCGTCTTGTGGCAAAAGGTTTCAGCCAGCACGCCGGTGAAGATTACAGTGAAACGTTCAGTCCTGTGATACGACATAGCACACTTCGACTCGTGTTGGTCATTGTGGTAATCAAGCGCATGAAGAGATTGCAGCTGGACGTGAAGACCGCCTTCTTGAACTCCAATCTGGACGAGGAGATCTACCTGGAACCAGCCGAAGGATATCGCAGGTGCAAAGGCTGTGTATGGCGCTTGCTGAAGGCTCTGTATGGGCTAAAACAAGCCTCTAGGTCGTGGTACGGACACTTGTGCGCTTTTCTGAATGCGCAGGGTTTTCGTCAAGGCCAGGCGGATTACTGTCTATTTGTGAAAGGCGCTGCGGAAGACTTGGTGATTGTTCTCATTTACGTTGATGACATCTTGATTTTCGCCATGCGAGACGAAGACATTGTATCTTTCAAGGCAGCAATGGAGGCTGCGTTCGAGGTGAACCATTTCGAGGATGTTAATTTTTTCTTGGGCCTCGAGCTGACCTGGTCACCCAGTGGTGACGCAGTTTGTGTTGGCCAGCGAAAATATTCTCACACAATTCTGGAGCGATTTGGCATGGAGAAGACAAGATCTGCAGCTACACCAATGGAAGAGCGATACCGAGATAAGCTCTTCCTCGACGAGGATATTTGTGAATTCAAGCCTCGACCTGCCATCGGTGCACTGCTGTATCTGTCGGTCATCAGTCGACCAGACTTGGCTACTGCGATTCGCCTACTTGCTCAAGAGACCGAGCGACCTACACGTGTTGTGGAAGACGGGATTAACCGTGTGTTCCGATATCTCAACGGTACGCGTGATTTTGGACTGGAATTCAAGCAACGTAATGAAAGCGGACTTGTCGTGTATTGTGATGCTGCTTTTTCGGTGGAACGTGAGTCGCATTCGTCTACTGGCTTTGCCATATTCTATTGTGGCAACCTCGTGGAGTGGGGCTCGAAGAAACAATCAATGGTGACGCTGTCCTCCACAGAAGCGGAGTATATTGCAATGGGGATAGGCGTCCAGGAGTGTATCGGGCTCAACATGGTGCTGAAGGATTTGAGGATGGAAGCTGGCGAGATTCTTGTGTTCGAAGACAACCAAGGTGCTCAACATCTCGCTGAAAGCAAAGCAGTAACTCAGCGATCGCGTCATATCAACACTAAGTATCACTGGTTGCGACAAAAGGTCAAGGAGCATGAAATCCGCATCCAGTACTGCCCCACATCAGAAATGGTTGCCGACCATTTTACCAAGCCTCTTGGGACCATCAAGTTCAAGCATTTTCGCGATGAACTCGGAGTTCGCCGAGTGGGAGTGTTAGATCAGAATGCAGCGTCGATCCGATGGCACGGAGTGTGACAGCAGCAGCATCGACGACTAGACTTCGCAGATGGCAAGCACTGTGCAGTCGACACGAGAGTGCATGAGATCGTGACGACAGCACAGCGCAGAGAGCGTGCTGGCGGTCTGACAGTGAGCGCCTGCAGTGCATGCAGTGTAGTAGTTTTCTTCAGAGACTCCATCACACTTCACTCACTTCTAGTGCGCACTCTCTCTCACACTCGACACACTTCTCTGCGCAGTTCACATGTTTTAGACGGGATGAGTGATTGCGAGTGATCATCTCACAGCGATCATCCATGCTGCAGGACCACCAGAAGCTACGTTTGGGGCAGTTTTTCCTTGGCTTAGCGCCCTGCTCATGATGCATA